TTTAGCTTCTGACTTATGGGTGTCAATAAATGAATTGTTTCACCCACTGCCCGTTACTTTGCTTTGTTGACATTTCTTGAAATTTAGAATGGCCCAATAACAACCAAGATAATGTAACCATCTCCAGACTCAGTATGCCAGCGATCCATGCAATGAAATGGAAATCCCCAAATTAATGAGGAGGTTAAATATTGCTCCGGGTGAAAATAGTTCTCCAACTTACACCATAGCCTGGAGTCCTGGTCAGGTTAATAAGGGTTAACAGTAGTCACTATAGGAAACAGAGTATTGGGTAAGAAAGTAAAAACAGTCTTACAATCTTTGGGAAAGGAAGAGGAACAACAAATGACAGAAGAAGCTAAAGACGAATCATTGGGTATCTGGCCTGCTAAGCTAATTTGGGCCAGTTTCTGTACCAACTGACACACATGGCAGCAATTTGGCTAGCGTCATACTCATCTCCTTTTGTTTCCCTAGCCAAATGGACTAGCAGAAGTGACTTAATGCACAAGCCCAAATCAAGAGTTGCTGGTATCTCCTGTTGCAAAATAGTTCCCTATAAGGATGTGCTTACTGCCAGGAAAGGAGAAAGGTGTTTTCTCTGTTTTCACTCCACTTACTTGGGCACGTGGATCTGGACACCATGGTGGTGGTAGCTCATGCACATGGAGGGACTGTGCATGATGAGAAGATGAGTGAGGTGTTGTGGGTGGGTAGCGAATGCTGGCAAGGGGCTGTCTTGATAGAGACATGAGGTGGTGAAAAGGTCTGAATTTGATGGTGGGCAGAATGGGGCTGAGGCACTGTTGGGGGGAAGGTGTGAAACTGGAAACGGAAGGCACGAGGCTAGAGGCTGTCTTGAGGGATTTTGTGAAATCAGAAGTGCCTGAGGTGTGGTGAAGGACTGTACTGAAAGACAGTATGAAGTGGCAGGTAATACTGTGGGGTATGAAGTTGCGTTGAAATAGCTCATGACATCAGAAGCGGGCATTGTGTATTGAAGGCAGCACAAGCAGAGGTTGTGCAATTGTGGCTGCTGAGGTGTGGTAAGGCTGTGGAGTTTGGGTGGACCCTCCTCCAGGAAAAGTTGTGTGAAGCAGTAGGGACTAAGTAGGGTGGTAACTTGTGTCAGGAGAAGCTGTGGGTCAGAAGAGGACTCTCTGTGGTGATGGGTGTGTTAAGGCCAGTTTGGCAGGGACAATAGGCCCTCAGGGAATGAGAAGTTGTGCTGAGGGAGGTTGTGAAATCATCAGCAGGCATTATGGAAGAGGACTGACAATTTCTCAATCTATGTGACCCCGAGCAGCAGTAAGGCATCCTCTTCAAGGACTGTGAAACTAGAGCATCTCAGGGACACGAGTAGGAAACAAAGCATCAGTGCAAAAGGCAAGGTATAATTTTGTACAGACAGTTCTTGCTTTCTTTGTATTGTGAGACTGGCTGAAGAAGGGAGAAGTAGTAAAAAAACATTTTCAGAGCCATATCAGTGACAGGTTCTGTACAAGGGGGGAAGGGGGAAGTGGTTCAAATCTAAGTGACCATACACAACAAACTAGATATTTCCCCAAGAGAGTGATTGGCTGGCTGGCAGATGTCACGCTGAAAAGACCGTGGCTTTTTAAACAGTGCCTAACTTGCCCAGCACTACAGTATGACACAAGGATTTTATCTGTTCTATATGTCACAGAATTCAGGTGACAATTTTACCCAGCAGATCCATACCAGGCAGCTGCTGCAGATTAATCACTGAAATTCCAAGGAACCCACAAAAGGTGAGAAATTCCTAGACGGTATCTTTGCCATTGCATTTTGTCTAGTGCTTTCTGTCATGCTTTTGGAGAGATGGTGAGGGGAAGGGAGGAGGGGAAAAAATGGAGGAAAGGAGATCAAATATTTTCTTCTGCTGGTTAGAAATTGCCTATAGGTAAGCAATAGTCTTGATCACTTTCAAGATAAGGAGGGCTTCATTCTGGGGACCCTTTTCCACAAACAAGTGCTATTGAATTGCTCTAAATACACCTCTGTAATATAAGATGCCATTATTCAGAGACCTAGCATTAGCAGTTTTGGTCTTAAATGATCACTTAAGATTAGCCAAGAAAATACAACATCATAACTTTTTGTCCATAGTCTAAAATGTCTTCGTGGTGTCAAGGTTGTTCAGACTGACATCTGCCACGAGAACTACATGGTACTCAGCATGCAAACCACAGGAAGGATGTTTAATCTCAAGAGAGAAAAAGACCACCTAGACTCAGTCTACTGCTGTTTGATGCAAGCTTTCATTAATTAGTTTCGTTAAGGAAGTAGACTCACATCTTGAATGTGTCTTGGAGACACGAATGTGTCTTGGAGACAAGAAGAAATCAGTCTTTCCAAGGCCATACAATAAATATATGAGAACTGTGAGTGACTTTTTTGGTATTCTTTTCGATGGTCTACAGAAGTCAGAGAAGAATTCCTTCACTTCCATTACAGTGGAAGGCAAAATTTTTTATTTTGTCACTCATCCACAGGGCATCCACTACAGCCATTTCTGGCAGTCTTTATGCATACATGACCAATGGCACAGGGCCATGTCATTTAACATTAGGAAATATGCTTGACAAGCTGAAGTTAGACAGCTAATCACCTGGCATTCCCTGAATGCCCAGTGGCGAGAGATGTACTTCTGGAGGATGGGGTCAATTGCCTTCTGGAGATGACTGCAGCAGGGAGGTAGAATAGCTGGTTTCCTAAAATGGGCACTTGATCAGAAGGCTGGTATGGGCTTAGACAGAGCTTAAGTGACACTCAAATGTTCATGCCCTCTTCAAATCAATTGGAAATTTGCTTCAGGTTACACAGACAGCTGGTGGCAGAGGATAGTGCTACATTGAGTCTTCTAAAGACTAGGAAACCTCTTAACCACTGGGTCTTCCTTCCTCCTCACAGCAGACTTGGTTCACAGATTTAGAGGCTGCTTCAGCTGCTTTCTGCTGTGAATCAAGGTCTGATAATTTGCTGCAACCCCAAAAGCAGGTAGTGTGGAAATGAACAAAGTCATAAGGCTGTATCTTTTTCAGTTTGCTTGCTACAGATGTTCAGGGAAGAGGCAGCCTTGCTAGTGATGTTGGTCAGGCAGTATACTGCTCTCCCCAGATAAGGAAAGAGAAGTTAAGTTTGAACTCAATATTCCTGTTGTGAAACTGTGTTACAACAGAGATTCTGTGCATTCTGAAGAGGATGTTTTTTGTTTTCCATAGTCCCTTTCAGTATGTACTAAAATTCTTTCTTTAGTCTTAATGTTAGAAGCACTCGAAGTCCTGTAAGAGCTGAGGATGGAATCATCCAGCTTCCTACATAAGAGTATGGTGCAGTGCCAGAACTTCCCTGGCTTCAGTCAACCCTAAAGGTTTCACATCCTGCAATCCTTGGTGAAGTTAAGGGTGGAGTTCACCTCAGCTAACTTCAGCTGTCCACACACTAATCCTCTCGCTGAAGCTGGCACTCTGCAATGTATCTGCAGTCAGCAAAGACAGGCAAGTGACTGCACACCTAAGACAGCTATCTTAGGATAAAATACACTACCGTTGGAGGTGCTCATAAACCTCCATTAATTCAAATGGCAGCTTTAAAGGCAATGTTAAATGAGATGTTTGCATCTTTAATGGTCCCAGATAGATTTCCAACCAAGCACTGCTGGCGTACATGCCTTCCACGGACTAGTGCAGCAAGATTGTCTCCACTGCTCCAGGCCATCAGCTGGCCAAGGAAATTACCTGCATCATGCATTTATCCTGCCTCTATCCATGCAGCACTGAAGACAGTGTGTCTGGGGTCCTGAGATGAAACACTTATGATTCAAGCTGTCACATTTCACTTGTTTACGGAAGTCTGTCTCCGTGTATGCTGCAGCATTTTACAAAGACAGAACAGACTAGTCATGCTGGTTAGACTCTTCAATGATTCATATCTTCCTAGCTCTCCCCATTTTGCCTTGTTCCTCTCTTCTTTTTAACTATCTCCTGCTGTCTTTCAAGACACTTCTCTACCTTCCCACATCAAAATTAATAGCTGGTGGGGAGAGAGGAAAAGAGTAACGCTATTTGACCTCGTCAGACAAAAAAAAAGGTATGAAACCTATTTTTCGACTTTTTTTTTTTCCAAGATTCTCATTCAGATCCCAGTATCATGGGGGAAGAAACAGGGTGAACTGCCTGAGGGAATGTGGTGAAATAATTGAGCCGTAATTCCAAGGTACTGTGAGGGTCAGACATTTTGTCCCACGTATGGTTCTTACAGTTTCTCTCTGCAAAGGAAGTTATTAAGGGCTGACTCTGTCAGACTGACAGACTGTCAGACAGACAGACTATTGTCTGTACACAGGGCTCAAAAGAACAAACCAAACACATTAAGTTACACTTTATTAAAATAGAAATCAGTCATCAACATAAAAAACTACCAGCTATCTTGAGTACTCCCTACCATGTTTTCTGGGCATATGCATAGGAGCTCAATCAGCTTTCATGCTGATTAAAATTGTATGCTGATTGCCTAGAACTTTCACACACTTTTGACAAGATTTGCCTCACCTAATCCTAGCCACATGAAGCAGAGACAATTATACCAGAGCTGTTAACACTGGGTTCTCTTTTTATTCAGACAAAAAAAAGAGGTAATTTTCAAACATGATTAATCTGAGCTATTATAGCTTTTAAAGATATTTGTTTCCCAATACTGACTGCAAAAAGGACCCTCAAGAAACGCATTTTAAAAAGGGAGAAACACACTGCAATCTAACTTTTCCTACATGTTGTACAGAATTTGGCCTTAGATACAGTCCTTTGAACAACGCTCTGTGCTCTAAGTCCAAACACAGCAATCCCTCCCTAAATCAAGCTCTGGAACAAAGAACTGGAACAAATCCAGAAACACCACCAGGTCACCATGAGGGAAAGTCACACTGGAGTCACCACCTCTCTCCTCTCTGCTTACAGGTCTGTCTGAAATCACTCATTATGAGTAATTCAACTACATCAATCTTCCTTCCAACTGCAACCAGCCAGGTTCATGGGACTAATCAGAGTGGGGCTGTGGGAAAGACAGAGCCATCATATGCTGTCCTCAAGTTCATGGAGAGCTTCTGCCTCATCAGCGCTGCCTGTGGGATGGTGGGAAATGGCATGGTCCTATGGTACCTTGGCTTCCGCATCCAGAGAAACCACTTCACTGTCTACATCCTGAACCTGGCTGCTGCCGACTTTGGGTATCTCCTCTGCATCGCCATTGAGACGGTTCAGTACCTGATGCAGTTCAACGTGGGGGTGCAGTTTGGGATATTCCTCTTCCTGGATCTTTTCATGTATGGGACTGGCTTGTATCTCCTGACGGCCATCAGCATTGAGAGGTGCTTGTCCGTCCTTTGTCCAATCTGGTGCCGAAGCCACCGCCCAAAGCACTTGTCTGGCATCATCTCTGGCCTGCTCTGGGGTCTCTCCCTGCTGCTGAACACGCTCGGGTATGTTTTGTGTACCGTTCGCCCCTCT